CAAGATATGACAAAATAACAATTTATAAATTATCAAGGGCTCATGAGGGAGGGGGGAGCGGGGAGGGAGGGGAAAAATGAGGACCTAATGCTGGGGGCTTAAGTGGAGAGGAAATGTTTTGAGAATGATGAGGGCAATGAATGTACAAATGCACTTTACACAATTGACATACGTATGGATTGTGATAAGAGTTGCATGAGCCGCTAATAAAATGATTAGAAAAAAAAGTGGAAAAAACCGGGGATCTGATTTCTAGAGTTGTCATATTATATTATTCAAATCACCTAGTTTTCAACTAATGTTTTTTTTGCTTTTTTTTGTTTTTCAAATTTAAATCATTTTATAGGGGGCTCGTACACCTCTTATCACAATCCATATATATATCCAATTTGATGAAAAACATGAATCTATACATCCATGAAGTACAACGAATTCTAAATAGGTTAAGAGAGCCACACCTAGATATAACACCAGGAACACAGTAAGAATTTCTACTCTTACACCTCCTACTCAACATATAGTACTAGAGGTACTAGCCAGGTACTAGTCAAGAAAAAATAATAAAAGCTCCATATTTGAAAGTAAGAAGTAAAGCTCTAATTGTAGATGGCATGAGTTTAGCTATATAAGGTACATGAAAAATATATACAAATACGTAAACTCCTTCAGAACCCACTGAATTACTATTAGAATAATTATGATTAGACTAAATAGGGTTGCAGGTGACAAGTTCAATATGCAAAAATCAATTGCATTTCTATAGAGCAGCACATATGGTGACTTTAAAGGTGAACCAGATTAAAAGAATAAAACTCTTATACATATCACTGGAATAATATTGTTTGTTTACATCAAGTCATCCAATGAGATCTAAGTGAGCCACCTTTCCTCGCCCTCTGGTAATGAAGTATGAGGGGATGTCTAAAAGTTTGTGGGAAAGTTCCATTCTTTTAAAATTCCGTTTTCCACAAACTTTTTGAAGTCCCCTCATAGTATTATCGAGTAAGACTGAAAAGCTAAAAGACCAGATAAAAGTAGAGTTTCAACACTAATACCACCAAAGCATCTTATGTAAATACTTAAAATAAGGTATACTGAGCATTCAAATAACCACAGCAAAATGAAATGAATTTTTAAAATAACTCAAATTGATGATGGACTGAAAATAATGAGTGGAGCTTCCAAAAATACATAATTATATGGCATAATACATAATTATAACATTAAATCTTGTTATTCCTGGAATAGTTTGCCATCAGTAATAATATTCCTACACCCTGCGTACAAAAATCCCTACATATTTGTGTTAGTTGTAATTAGAATGTTCAATTAAAGAAACAATAGTTTAAGATCTTATTTGAAAATCAGTTACAATTATCAACAAAATGTCTACCTTTATCATACCTGAAATTTCTCTTTCCAATTTTCCCTCTTCTGTCCAGACTTCACAAGTCTGAGGTCTCTGGAACCAAAGCCACTTGTGACCTAGCCACTTTCTTCTCTGGCAACACCTTGCTTTCCTTGCTCCCTTTATTAACCAAACTTTCCCCCTGTGATCAGGTCACAGTAAAGTACCACACCAAACATATAGGTTACAATGATAATTTTACTCTTGAATTCTGTGGTTCAGACACTGTGATAGGGAACAACAGAAATTACTTGTTTCTGCTCCATCATCAGTTGGGAAGACTCAGAATCAACTAGAAATGTTTTCACTCACCAATAATTCTGGTTGAAACCTCAGTTGGGCTGCTCATCAGAGGACCCATAGGCAGCCTCACCATGGGTCTGGGCTTTCTCACAGCATAGCAGCCCCAAGGTAATAAGACTCCTTACATATCGCTCACCACCACTCCCAGTTGCCACCAAGCCAGTTCCAACTCATGGCGATCCCATGTGTGTCAGAGTAGAACTGTGTTTTGTAGGGTTTTCACTGGCTGATTTTGAGAAGCAGATAACTGGACTTTTCTTCTGAGGTATTTCTCGGTGGTCTCAAACCTCCAACCTTTTGGTTTAGCAGTTGAGCCTGTTCACCAGGAGTCCAAAACTGTATGTCCCTGCAAATAGGGCAGAAAATGACATCACTTTTTAATGCTTTGACTCATTTCTCCCTATTCTATTGATCAATGCACTGCTAAACAAAAGGTTGGTGGCTTGAAGCCACCAGCTACTCCCCAGGAGAAAGATTAAGCAGTCTACCCCTGTAAAAATTGACAGCTTCGATGAGCCAGTCAGGTGTACTATAGCACCGACAAAACATACAACTTCTTCTAGTTCTTTAATACTCCCCCCCCCCACTATCATGGCCTCAATTCTACCTTACAAATCTGACTAGACCAGAGCATCTACAGATAAGAGCCCACACTCAGGGAATCTGGGACAGATAAACCCCTCAGGACCAATAATGAAAATAGAGATGCCAAGAGGATAAGGAGAAGGTGGGTGGAGAAAGTGGGAATCAATTGCAAGGATTGATATTTAACCCCCTCCCAGGGGAATGAACAACAGAAAAGTGGGTGAAGGGAGACAGAGGATGATGTAAGATATGAAAATAATAGTCTATAATTTATCAAGGATTCATGAGCGAGGGAGGGTGGGGGAGAGAGAGAAAAAATCAGGAGTTGATACCAAGGGCTCAAGTAGAAAGAAAATGCTTTGAAAATAATGATGGCAACATGTACAAATGTGCTTGACACAACAGATGAATATATGGATTGTGATAAGAGCTGTAAGAACCCACAATAAAAGTATTTAAATATAATGAAAAACCCGATGGAGCAGTTCTGCTCTATATGAGGTTGCTATGAGTCAGTGTTGACTAGATACAGTGGGTTTGGGGGCAGTTATTTGTTCTCAATGGAAGGAGGGCAAGGTCACACTGTATACAAGTGTGGGATGAGCAATACTGGCCTAGCCTTCTTTATATATATATTATCTATCCCATTCTCCCATGTGCTCATCTTATGTAAGTATACTTTGCTATGATTTTATTTTTAAAGAAAAAGGAATGCCAGGGAACCATTATTTTTATCTGAGGTTCCTGACTTCTGTTAAAAAAAATTAAAAAGGCAAACTCATGGTCATCAATTCTAATCCAACTGATTGTAACCGTCTAGGACAGGAAATAACTGTTCCCTGGGATTTCCAATGCTGTAAGTCTTTATGGAGGTAGGCAACTTCGTTTTTCTCCTGAAGAGTCACTAGTGGGTTTGAACCGTTGACCTTTTTGGTTTGCAGCCTAACATTTAAGGCACTACACCACCAGGAAACCTTGAGGGAATCAAATACATGTAATCACAGCCAATCTCAAACCTGTTTTGCTTATCATATCAGATCATTTGTGTACTAGAGTATAGGAGTTCTGGCAGAGAGTGAGTTTAGTGTCCTATGGCTGCTGAACTGATCTGAGAATAAAAACAGCCCCTGTGAGTTGGCAGTAACTCAATAGTAGTGGTTGGATGCTGTTCTGTCTCCAAGGGCTGGGTTTTGGGGTTCTTCTGAAGAATATGATCTCATAGAACATCAGTAGCTGACAAGGTCACTCTGTGATCATGCTGGATCAAGACAAAAATCAAGACCACTAAAATGAGACCAAGCATGAACTCTGGTCAAACCACCAAAATGACACAACACCCTCTTATTCTGGCTAATAAGAGTGACTGCAGCTTCTTTATGCTTTGCTTTAGCTTCATTCTAGTCTATTGTCCTAGATCAGTGCTTCTCAACCTTCCTAATGCCGCGACCCTTTAATACAGTTCCTCATGTTGTGGTGACCCCCCCAAGCATAAAATTATTTTTGTTGCTACTTCTTAACTGTAATTTTGCTACTGTTATGAATCGGGCGATCCCTGTGAAACGGTTGTTCAACCCCCAAAAGGGTCGCAACCTACAGGTTGGGAACCGCTGTTCTAGATAAAGCTTAGTAAGAAATCCACTTATAGAATTACTCCATTGCCCAACAAAACCCAAATCCAGAGAAAAGCCTTGCTTTTCTTTAAATCCTTCCCCAAATCACCTGACGCAAGGACACGTCTTATAATGAAGTCCTTTATAATTCCTTCAACTGAGGTTCCCCTGGAGTTTCCCATGGTGGACATTCTTCACTGATGCAAAATGTAAAAATACAGTGTGTAATCAATACAACTTGCCCAACCACACACAGGTCTTGGAGTTCTTCGGCTAAAGTACAGTGATGATTCCTCTAAAGATCTTCACATCAGAGAACACATTTCTGCCCGAGGTAATTTCTGACGCCCTGTCCCCCCCAGCTTTCACTCAGTGTTTGGATTGGTAAAAATATTAATTCTTTTGGACCTCATGAAGCTACTAAAATGTGTGTGTGTGCCAGATTAAGATGTCCTCCAGGTTTCTACCTAATCAAATACAGAAAGATTATGCTGATAGCAATGGCAACTGCTGCCCTGCCTCCAACACAGTTGAAGGACCTAAGGGTAATGTGGCTTCAGGAACACAGGTGTCTAAGCTTCTGCTGTAGGAAAATACAGATACACAGGACTAATGGTTCATCAAATGCAAGTACCAGAATCCGGAACATTTCTGCCTCCTCCTCCTCCTCTTGTCATTGAGCTCAGTTATCTCCTAATCTTATTTTGCAAAGATAAAATGTGACAGTATCGTATTTACCCTTCTTTTGCCTCTCCTTTTGCATATCTCAGGACCCCCAGGTGGCACAGTGGTTAACTGCTCATCTGCTAACCAAACGGTTGGTGGTTCTAATCCACCAAGTACTTCTCAGGAGAATGTGTGGCAATCTGCTTCCACAAAGACTGACAACCTTGGAAACCATATGGGGCCTTTCCACTCTGTCCTATAGGATCTCCAAGAGATGGAATTTGACTCAATGACAATGGAGTTTGAATTTTTGAGTCTATACTTCTCAAGCAAGGAACCCTCATGCGACAGTGGTTAACCCTGGGTTGTTAACCTAAAGGTTGGCAGGTCTAACCCAGTAGCTACTCTGTGGGAGACAGAGATGACAGTCTGTGTCTATAAAGATTAGTGTATTGGAACCCCTATGGGGCAGTTCTATTCTGTCCTGTAAGACTGCAATGAGTTAGAAATGATTCCATAGGAATAGATTTTACACTTCTCGCTGACTTGACCTTCATCCTTAGAAAAAGGACTCCAAATAAAACTCAGACCCCCACTTCAGGTTAGAGCCACATACTAACCCTTTCATGATCGACTTATTTTATATGTCTTATAGTTGGAGAATATAAAGTTATTCAGTAATGGAATGCATGCTAAGTAACTGAGTCATGTTAAAATACTGTTAGGTAAGTGCTCGCTTTGGCAGCACATATACTAAAATTGGAACGATACAGAGAAGATTAGCATGGCCCCTGCGCAAGGATGATACACAAAATAATGACTCATTCCATATTTTGAAGAGGTGGAAGAAGGGGGAACGTGATGGTGGGGCAGGAGGAGGCAAAATGAAACAGAGGAAAAGCTCTAGGAAGAGGTATTAACAGAGGTGCATACTTATGTAAATACATTAATCCATAAAAATAGAGGTATTGGCCTATGTACATATATTTATAAGGCAATATATTGAGGCTTTGGACAGACCTTGGGTCTCAGCTTATACCTTCCCTCAATACAAGAACCCTTTGCTCTAACAAAATGGCATTTTGTGATACTTACCACACACACAATTGCTGAAGACAAAATGGGTGCATAAGCAAATGTGGTGAAGACAACAGTGGTGCCCAGCTATTAAAAGATATAGTGTCTGGGGTCTTAAAGGCTTGAAGTTAAATAAGTGGCCATCCAACAGTGAAGCAACAAGCCCACATGGAAGAAACACACCAGCCGGTGCAATCATGAGATATCATTGGGACCAGGTAAGAGGCATCAGAAGATTCATAACAAACAACAAACAAAATGCATTGTGCGAATGAGGGGGGTTGGAGCGGAAACCCAAAGCCCATCTGTAGATAATGGAACAACTTCTTACGGAGGGGTTGCAGGGAAGGCATGAGTCAATCAGTGTGCAGTAGAGCACCAATGGACCATGCAATATACCTCTGGTTCCTTGAGGCTTCCTCACCCCCCACTATCATGACCCCAGTGCTGATTCCCACTTTGGACTGGACTGAAACATGTACATAGATATAGGCAAGATATAAAGTTCACGACACACGAAACACAGGAATAGGAATGGGAATAGCAATACCAAAAGGGTATGGGGAAGGAGGTAGAATAGGAGAGGAAATGGGTGCCAATCACAATGAATGGCACATAACCACACACACCCCTCCAGGGGGGAAGAACAACAGAAACCAGAAGGGTAG